CTCACTGTTTGTACCGCATGCCATACCATATGTGTTTCGTGTTCAGCTCCTGGACAACTCTCCACAAATATTTTCAAAACTGTAGCGCCCTCTATTGTCAAGGTTTGTTTGTATTACAGATTCAACTTCGACTTAAACCTTTTGGAATTACTCCACAGCAGCAGCAGTAAAAGATAACACGGCAATAGACAATAAATTCCTCAACTCAACCTGAAAAACTTTTTTGAATGGCGCGCTGAACACGTTGCCTCTAGGTGAGCCTTAATCCGGCTCGAAGGACCAATGTTTAGTGTCCCAAAAAGGAGGTGGAACTAACTAAAGAATTAAACACCTGTTCCAATTTTAAATAGCGAGAGAGCATTTATTGCTTCGACATAAAATACTTATGTTTCCATAAAAACAAAATGATAGCGCGATTCAATAGACTATTCCTGCCATCTAGTATACAAAACGTTAATCTGATTCTTAACACGAGGTATACATATTTTTGAACAACTTCGAGAACGGCACCGTGTATTGCAATCGGTTCCGGTAGAACATGTTCATTGAACATGACCTTGGTTTTATCCAAGTTCATCCGTAGGCCGATGCGTATAGAAGAGTCAGCCAGGTCATTCAGCATCTGTTGTTGTAGGTCCTGCAGGGTTTCTGCCATGATGACGATGTCGTCTGCAAATCGCAAGTGAGAGATGCGTTCGCCATTTATGTTGATGCCATGTCGTTTCCAGTTCAGCGTCTTGAACATATCCTCCATTGCATTAGTGAATAATTTCGGGGAAATAACGTCCCTTTGTCTCACTCCACGATGCAACGGTATGGGACTTGTTTGCTGATTCTGTACTTGGACAGACATGGTGGCGGCTTCGTAGAGACATCTTATCACTTGGATGTATCGCCAGTCGACTTGGCAACGCTGCAGGAACTCCAGGACAGACCAGATTTCAATCGAGTCAAAGGCCTTCTCATAGTCCACAAATGCTAGGCACAGGGGCTGATTGTACTCCTCAGTCTTCTGTATAATCTGCCGCACTGTGTGGATGTGGTCTATGGTGCCGTATCCGCTCCGAAACCCAGCCTGTTCCGGTGGTTGGAAGTCATCAAATCTTCGCGTAAGACGGTTCGCGATCACTCTTGAGAACAGCTTATAGACGTGGCTTAGAAGGGATATGGGTCGATAGTTCTTAAGTAGGGTCTTGTCCCCCTTTTTAAAGAACAAGACGACCACACTCCTGCTCCACGCCTCCGGAGTTCTCCCTTCGAACAGGACAGTGTTAAAAAGCTTTTGGAGCTCCCTCAGTACGGGTTTACCTCCAGCCTTCAAGAGTTCTGTTGTAACACCATCCTCTCCAGGGGCTTTTCCATTTTTAAGCTGTCCAAGAGCAATCTCGATTTCGCCAATACTGACTTCTGGCAGGTCTTCGGTCATCGGATGGGTGACCAAAATTTATTATCTCGAGCTCCGCCGTGCTTCAAAAGGCATCTGAATTATGAATCGACTAGCTGCCCGCCCTCGCTTCGCTGCGGTGTAGAGCTGAAGTGTAGACTACAGTTTTTGTTCTCAGGCTTGTATTATACACAATGACATTCATCTATGATTTTTCTTATACCTGCATGCAAAGTCTCAGCCCGATCGGTTTAAAATTGACAAAGTTTCATACAAACTTTCATTCCCTAATTTATCCCCTTGGGGGTAGAATTGATCAAAATCCTTCCTTAGCGGATGCCGACGTCATAACATCTACCTGCATGCCAAATTTCAGCCCGATCCGTCCAGTGGTTTGGGCTGTGCGATGATAGATCACTATGTCAGTATACCTTTGAGTTTTATATATTTTTATTGAAATATAACGCTCCTTGCATGGTTCCTTAATCACCCAGTCGGGGTCTGATGATGGGATCCTGGCAATTTAGGTATACTTTGTAGTAATTCCTTTATATACACTGGGAAAGTACTCACTTGATGGCGTGGAACTGGTGATGAGAACCACAGAGCACAAGCAACAAAACACCTGAACTGATCAATACGAGTTACGTTACGATTTCTTTAATTGCTTCAAATTCAAACTATTTATTCAGTCTAGGCTAGTCTCAAGCTCTTGTGAAAGTCAAACGCTACGCCATCAGTTCGTAAATGTACGGCGGGAGACCTTGTGCTGAGAAGAACCGGCAAGTAAGCTTGCTATGCAATTTACTTTGGTTACACTGCATATACAGAAGCGGGGCTGATAGTGAATTACCAGGAGGAGTAAATCGGGATAAGTTTTGTAAAAGGTGAATAGCAGTATGCATAAGGCTATTTTATAGAGGAGCTCGATGGCGCCAGTGGTTTGCGCGTTCGGCTGCGGTCGTTGAAGTTGAGCAATTTTCGCAGTGGTCGGTCATTGGATGGGTGACCAAAAATTTACTATCTCGAGCTCCTCCGTGCTTCGGAAGGCACGTTAAGCCGTTGGTCCCGGCTGCATCTGCAGTCGTTAGCACCCACCAACCCGCACTGGGCCGCGTGGTGGGTCATTGCCCAATCTCCCTAAGCCATCCATAGGGAAGGCCTGTGCCCCAGCAGTGGGGACATTAATAGGCTGATGATGATGATGATAAGACTATTTTAGCTTCAATATGTTACAAATTAACACAACAAAAGATGGTCAATACCAATACTTAGCTGATGATTGTATTTTTCTAACTACATATTGCAAACTCTAAAATTTCGTAACGTAATGAATGAGAACGGATAGCGGGGAGCCGGGCGCCGACCCCGGGACACGCTGGGCCACACGTTCATTGGATATAGGGCATCGAAACTAGGTTCAATTTTGAAAACTCGGGTTTTCGGGTTTAAGAGTAATCAAAACCCGGGTACAACGATTTTTCGAGCTTTTCGATGCTTTTCTTATAATTATAATTTTTTAAGCATGTAGCTGCTTGGTGTTTAAATCTGTAAAAGTATTCTTTCAACATTGTGGGTTACCTACAATGCGAAGAAATGGCGCTGCCTTGCAGCTTAAGAATGGCTAGAGGAATTTCGACGCGGTTCGTGAGGGCCGCGGTAGCATAATTGGTCAGTGCATTCGCCCGGATTGCGAAGGGTGCGGGTTCGAGTCCCGTATGCTGCCTGGTCCGCGTGGAATTTTTTCTAGTTATATTTTCTTTTGTTATAATTTTAAAAAATACATGATTCTTATATCGATTTTCTACAATGAGTACAAAATGTGAAGAACGAGGAAGTATCAGCATTTATTAAATAGTATGACCATTCTATTTCATCAATATTTGTATATATAATACTTCCTCCAAATTACAAAAACAGTTTCCAAGACCACCAAACCTGAACTTATTAGGTTCAGGTTTATAAGTTCAAAATTTTAAAATATAAAAAAATGTAAAAACTATGCTTTTGATTGTAAAAAAAGATTCAAAAGGTTTTTTTAAGTAATGATTAGGTATCTACAGAACATCCAATTTAGCAGCAGCAGTAAATGCAAAATTTCTAACAGATTTCCAAAAACGGAGATGTTTTTGGAACATCACGGAATCTATTTTCTCTATGGTCTGATTCGGTTTTATTTTAGTTTGAAAGAGTATAATTTCCACTTGATCCAATGGTTATCAGGTCAGGATCTGATACTGGGATCCTAGAAAAACCAAAATAACTCTTTAAAAATTAAGGACACATTATGTGTGTCCTTAATTTTTAAAGTAAGTCAGTAATTTGGATATTTATGTTTTTATTTTTTAAGCATTTAACTGCTAAATGTTTAAATCTAAAGAAAAGATTTATTAGAAAAAAAAAGGGTGCGGGTTCGAGCATATAGCATAACTATAATTGCTATTTCTTCTTTTAAATGTTTGATACTTGAAAAAGTATTCGTTTGACATTGTGGGTTACTTGCAATTCGCGCAGCGCAAAGAGATGGCGCTGCTTTGCAGCTTAAGACTAGGAAAATTTCGACGCGACCATCAGGGCCGTGGTAGCATAATTGGTCAGTGCATTCGCCCGGATTGCGAAGGGTGCGGGTTCGAGTCCCGGCGTCCGCTGCCTGATCCGCGTGATTTGGATATTTTTGAACTCGGCCACTTACTTTCGGAAAGCGCCATCTGGTGAACCGGTATGGATGATAAAGATATACGGTCCATAACTGATGGCCATCGGAACAAATGAAGAATTTAATGCGCTTACTTTAATTAATTTACCAAGTTATTTACGTTAACTGTTATTGATGCTGCTGACGAAGTGGAGCTCATAGATAAGTACCAAGAGAACTTCTCAACAGTTAACGTCCCCAAATCGGGAAGCTGCAGAAAAAACTGCTATAAACTTTTACACAATTATAAGCTATATAATAATAATATTATAATCAATAGCAGTTAACATTAGGCTTATATATAATGTAAATATTGTTACTTAGCATAAGTAGCTAAAGTTAATGATGTTGCTTTAAGACTCGAAATATTGACAATATTACTTTAAATGTAATTTAGGTTTCAGTAAAAGATACGAATTATTGTTTCTTAACTCTTTTGTTTTTTATCAAAGTGACACTTATAATACGTCGCCACAATTTTTTTCGTTTATCTTCAGCAAAACGCATTACATTTATAAATCAGACCTTATGAATAAGCATCGGTGACACAAGCTCAGATAGCAGAAAGCTCACCTGCCACGCGAACGGCCCAGATTCGATTCCCAGCCGAGGAACGACTTTTTTACTTTCATCTTTTTATATACCGGTCAACTGAGTATAAAAGCTTGCGGCGATGTAAAACAATTTAAAATTTTTACTTGCATCACGATGTTTCATAAAATTCCTCATGTCTGTAAGCAGGTAAGTAAGTAGGTATTAAAATAATTTGTAAGGTTTTGAAGATCATAAAATATTCAGTACTAGCCGTTCACGATTCGTAGCAACGTGTAAACGTCGATAAAATACATTTACGAGAGGCAACAGCTTTGGACGCGTTATTTTATTACCGCGGGACGTGGACTCAGAATTGGGTTAGCGGTGATGCCGGGCGTGGTGAGTGCGCGACTGTCTCGCACCCGGCCAGCGGAGGCCTCGGCCCTCAGCACCAGGTAATAAACTGAACTATGAAATATATTGTCGACAGTGGTGTTTCCGAACCAACTCCATCCGAAAACCTTCAAAAAAGAGCGTCCTCCTTCCTTAAAGGTCGGCATCGCACTTCTGGTGTTGCTGATGTCTATGAGCGACAGTCAATCAGGTAAGCCGTCTATTCTATAATATTAAAAATGTGTCTATAAACATGTCATCGTCGCCTGCAGCCTCCCACGCCGGTGAGCATCCGTCACGTCGCGCCGGCCCCCCGCGAGTGGCGCTCGATGCAGCGCTGTGACGCCGCAGTGTTGTCAGCCCCCGTCTAAAAACCCCCCGTATTAGGGTAACGTAAGGGTCATAAATCATAGCTGAATGAATTTCCGAGTAACCCTTGTCAAATTTCCTTCTCCTCAGCGTATAAATGCCAGATGGTTTAACGGTTTCTTTTGTATGTAAATGTTTTTTCCACATTTTATATGAAAATTGAGAATAACTATGTATTTACTTTTGGAATGATTACAAAATTGCACAATTTAAAAGCCAAACGAACATTCTTTATTAAAATCAAGGATTAATAATGTTTCCATCCATTTTAACCACACAGCATTCCTTCCATATTTTTAAATATTTTAAAGTCAAAGAGCCTTCTCTCTTGGACTTTGATTGATTTGATTTGAACATTATTCTAGTTGAGATCAGAATTGATTCCTTTATAATTTTTGCTTCTCTGAGTTGTATTTGTATTCGTTATCACTGATGAAAACACGGTTAAAGCTTGCTTAAATATATACTAATATTATAAAGAGGAGAGATTTGATTGTTTGTTTGTTTCTTTGTATTGAACAGGTTCCGAAAGTACTGCATCGATTTGAAAAAATCTTACACATTTAGAATTCTACATTGTCCCTGATGAACATAGGCTATAGGGTAATTTCAAAAAGTTAGGGTTCCGTATGAAAAATTCGGTTATGTAACCCAGGATGTGAAAAAAATACCAAAAAATTACCTTATATCACATACGCTGCGGGAGTCGTTCACAATAGAGCAGTGATGTAGTAAAGTTTTATAGATGACATAAATATCTATAAAAAAGTCTGAGATATAATATGTCTAACTATTCCAGTTATGTCACAACTAAAGGTCCCCAGCGGTTTCACCCGCGTTAATTTGAGGAAAAAGGTTATAGTGAGTCAAACTTCAAAGATAGTCATATTATTATGCTGTCGCGTACTTTTTTAGAACTTTTAAAAGGGGACAATTCCGTTATACATGATTTTTTTTAACTTTAATCATTTACACAGCGCATGCGTAATCTCCCAAATGGAATATTTTTACCCGTTACCAGCAGGAGTGGAGTATCGATGTAAAATTTTTGCAACATTTTACATCGATACTCCACTGCTACTGGTAACGGGTCGCGGGTCGCAGTGTAATATTATATAGCCTTGAGCATTCCTCAATAACACTATTTAACACAAAATTATTTTTTCATATCGGATTATTTATTAGTTCCTGAGATTTGCGCGTTCTACCAAAAAATTTAGCATTCGGTACAACGGGTCCTGAACTACGTAACAAAATTTTCACTATCAGTTAAATAAACTCTCATGGAAGGTTTGTAATTATATTAAAAAAAACATTATTTATACTACAAGCCTGAGAACAAAACTATAGTCTACAGTACAGCTCTACACCGAAGTGGAGCGAGGGCGGGCCACTTACATTATAAAGTAGACATCAATTATTCAGATAAAATTTTAGCTACAAGTACAGACACATATCTAAATGTTTGGGTGCTAATTTTTCAGTAAAATATAAGTACGGTTGCTGATTAACAATCAACATTAGACCCACCCGACACCCAACCCGCCTCAACACCTGTAGTTGATATTCTTTGTATGGGTATATTCTCGCAAGTTGTCTGCGTATGGGCAGCTGGTGGATAACTCGGTGACACCCGTTGCTCGCACGCTTACCATGTGTTGGACACTAACTTTAAACTCACTACTTCTGGGTGGACCGCACTCTGCCTACGAGTTGACGACACATTCCGTTTTCCTCTTCATTAAGCGTGACTCGACGCTATTAATTACACACAAATTCATAAAATCATTAGATTATCGTGTTGGATTTTATCACAATGATTATGAAGAGAGTGCAAAAAGACATGAAGTGCAGTCATTGCTCTGTAGACGCCAGGATGCCATGTTTCTTTATAAGATAATTAACAATCACATTCACTCAGCTCAACTTGTGCAGAGTATTGTGCTCAAAGTTGCTCGTTTCTCCTCACGTTCAAAGGATACCTTTTAAGTTTCGCTTATGCTAAAAATACTTTTTTTAGACGGACATGTAATTTTTATAATAAGAACTTGAATGAAGCAGATATTTTCAATGAATCCCTTAGCAATTCCAAAAGGAAAGAGAGTGAATTATTGTTTAAATAGCAACCTGTGTATTATATATACGGGATGGGTTGGTGGTACAGATCATCTCCATATCTCGTCTGCGGGAAACCGTTGATCTGATTCCTTTGATATATTGTGTTGTAATTCTTAAGCAACTTTATTGGGTTAGTGGGAGCATTTTAGTGGGTTGTCGTGGGCGGGGGCTGTGTCGGTTTGTGTTATCTGCTCGTTTCGGTTTTCTGGACTTTCGTCGTGCGGCGTAGATGTATACAATCTACTTTATGCCGCTTGTATATAATAATTTTATATCAATTAATGGTTCTGTGCTACGCGGCGGCGCGGCGTTTACCCGTCGACCACCTGACGTTCACTGGTTGACAACGAGGCGTCCACCCGTGGGCCACCCGACGTTAGCTGGTTAACAACGCGGCGTCCACATAAGTTTGCTTTGCCACGAGGCGGCGCTGGGTGGCTCTAATGAAATGAGACCTTAATACGACAGTAAGAAGTAAAATATGTAACAATCCTTTGAAGAGAAGTAACTTTAAAGAAGATAACGCGTCTTTAGATGTAAAGACAGACATACAGGCCTCCCCCTCGTAGGCGCGTTATTATAGGACGATAATATCGGATGTGTTTTTGCGATATTTCATTTTAGTACATTATGTAGAGAACAGCTACGAAGTAACACACTGCTGCGATAATAACGATGCAATAGAAGTATGACGAAATAATAACGCATTCGATATTATCGACTTATGACTGACAGAGTAAGAAAAAATGATAATCATCCCTTTACGACAATCCTGCAAGGTAAAAAGATAGCTACGGATTGATTGATGTGACAAGTTTAAGGTATAATGGGACTGGCGTATCCTGTGTAAAACTCCTGGATTAAATTAAGAAAAAATACATCTACATTTATAGTTTGGTGGCACAATCGATAGCGCGAGGAGAGGATGGGTGATGAAATATATATTATTTCTAGTTCTTTTTTCTGCTTTGAAAGGCACATGAAGTCGTTGATTCTGTCTGCGTCTGCAGTCGTTAACACCCACCAGTTCCATTCATAGAGAAGGAAAGAATGCGCCCGGCCTGGGGGGAGATAATATGTTGTCGGCGATGATGATGATGATCACTAATACAGTTACGACTCAACTTATCCGGTACCCACAGTAACAAGAGGCCAAACCATCGCTTAGAATTTCTGAGAGTAAGCATGTGTACTTTCGACGTCAAAACTTTAACTGTTATTACATCGCCACAAATGTTTTCGTTCATATTTAGAATATCGCATTACTTTTTGAATTGTTATAAAAAAATAGATCATTGATATGGTGATGCTTGTTGATCGGTGGCAAGCATGGTGGTTCAGTAGTAGAAAGCTTGCCTGCGAAGCGAGCTTCTCGGGTTCGATTCACAGCCGAAGAAGGAACTTTTTTTATCAATGACTTTAAAACTCTCACCTGCGTCGTAGTTTAATGAAACCACACCATTTATTTTAATTTACCGCTATTCTAGGCTAGCTTTTCGGGACAGGTTATAATTTTTGTGCCGCGAACAACCCATTTCACAATTTGGTTAAATAAACGGGTAAATCTGGTGAATTGGCAACACTGTGACGATAGACGCGGATGCGTAATGGTGACCGCATTCGCGGAACCGAGTCGCCAGGGCCGGCGCGCGGCGGGCGGCGCGCGCAGCTCGGGGCGGGCGGGGCGGGGGCGGGGGCGGGCTGCGGGCGGGCGCGGCGCGGTCGATGCTCAGTCGCGCCCCGACCGCGGCCCGTCCCCGTCAGCCCTCGCCGCCGCCGCCGCAGCCCGACGCAGCCGCCGGCCGCGCGCTCGCCGCATGCCGCGCCCGCGCCGCCGCTAGCGCCGGCGTGGCCGGCGAGGCGCTCGCTGCCGTCCGCCCGTCGGCAGGTGAGCCGACACCGCCATCGCCGGACGCGGCCAGGAGGCCCGCGCGCCCGCGATCGATCGTCGCGCCGGGAGCGGACCCCGCGCCGACCCTGCCTTAATGCGAGACGAGAGCTCCTTCCGCGCTAGTGTAGTGGTGGTGATGACGACCGGCTCCCTCCGCAGCGCGGCATCGACCGCGGCACGAGCGGTGCGCGTGCGACGGCGCGTGTTTACAAGCGCGCGCACGGTAAACACGCCGCCGCCGCCTCAATGAGAGCGCGCGCCTATAAATACGCACATTCGGTCGTTTCGGCGCACGCCGCAACCCCCCCCGCCCCCGCCGCTGGTTCGCCGCGCCCGGTGACCCTCACCTACTACCCTCCAAGTGCAAAAATAAATATTATCAGGTCACATATTCCAGAATTCATTCTTTACATTCCGCAGAGTTTATGTAGTACTCGTAAACTGGAGCCGTAGAGTTGATTCGCTTTATGAATCCGAAGTCGAGCATTTTTCGCCGCAAACGACAATGGCGTTTTAATCGGCCGAACATTTTCTTGGTTTATTATAAAAATCGAGCTTTATGTGCAGAATGTAAATGTGTTTAATGTAAGCTAGAGCGCAACCTTATGTTCGCATCGTTTGTCATTGTTCTTTTTCTCTTGAGAACCGTCCCGAGGGAGTTCCTGGCGGTATCAGGCAATTATAGAATACGGTACAATCTCTCAATCCCACGATTCCCTTAACCAGAGTCACAGTGGTTTCGACAACGTTTGTGTAAAAAAAGTGAAAGTTTTTACCGTTTTCTTTATACATAGAGCTGCGTCCAATTTGCAATTTGTTAACCAGCTCTTTGATGTGCAATGATACCTGGTGAAGAAAAGGTGAGTCGATATCTTACAAATATAAGAATTACGTAAAAAAGAAAATCCAAAGAAGGAAGTAGGGCACGCTTCTAAGAGAGATATGGTTTGGTAACCGCATAATTGTGGATAGGTAGGAGTTCTCCAGAAATAGCTGACCTGCAGTACAGAGACACAGTTGTCAAAGAACAGCACATTCCGGTGTCGTCCGCAGGGCCATTTTATACCCTGATCATGACATAAATCAGATTGAATTTAAAGCAATAATAACTTTGCAATATTGAAATCTTTGGAAATCTTAATTGCACAAGATTAATTGTACGAAACAAATAATCTTTATTCTAAAGAGGTAAAGTTTGTGATTTTGTAAAGAGGAATCTCTGGATATACTGAACCGATATTAAAAATTCGTTTACATTGGTAAAGTAAATTTTAATTTTAAATAAAATTTTTAATAAAATACTATTTATGACTGTCATAGGTCATATATTTATCCGAAGAATAAAAAGACTTTGCGTGGCAATCGGATTTGCAAAGTAAGCCGGAGAAGCGGTCGGACGAAAACGTTTCTTACGAAGGATGCCATAACGATGAGATATATTGAGTTATAGAGCTTCATAATTCCTTCAACATGTCTTATTTTAATATTGAAGTCACTATATGCAGTATATTTATATATATTATATATATAAATAAGAAGAATTGTAAGGTCATGTTTATTGGTCATTATTATCAACTTCAAATTCTTATCAAAATAAGTAAATTTATCGTTTCAAGTTAAATAAAACTAAAGAAAAATATAGTTTTAAAACTATAGTTTACACTGAAGCAACGCCAGGGCGGGCCACTAGTGCCAGATAAGTTGCTTAAGTAACATTAGTCATAAATTCAGAATTACATATTTAGATAATTATCAAAAGTATGGGAAAAAATAAGCGATAATTATCATTGAAAAAATGAAGGTTAGGGCAACTTGGAGATAACCGAGGTCATAGCATATCAAGTTGTGCAATTTTGCTAAATCCTACTTTAGCTCTAAAACGAGGTTTTGACCATAAAATAATGTCACCCACGTATTTCTATGGGTTCATCTAGTTTTTTTTGTTGAATCGAGATTTCCCACATTTGCTGCTTATGCATAATAAAGCTCAATTAATAATTGAAATTGACAGAAAATTTGTTATTAAACTTATATAATCAATATAGTGTCGTAGGGTGTGAGTAGAAATGCTTTGAATTAACTAATGAAAGAATTAAATGTCAAGGAATAAAAATTGATAAAAAATTACTTAAAGTAATCGCAAATATAATTTTCATTAAGCTAACAATCAGTCTTATAATGCTAGAGAATGTTCGTAATGAAATATCGTCCCCTTTGAAATCATCATTATTGTTATCCATAAATAATAAACCTTTGTTCATGAAATCAATCAAAAGTAAGTAATGAATTGTGTACAGTCCAAAAGTTTTGCATTTACTTTTCTGATTTCCTGCCCTCAAAAGATTGATTACCCCGTGGGCGGCGGGCGGCGGGCGCCGGGCGAGGGCGACGTCGACGCGGGGGGGGGGGAGGGTGAGCTGAAGGGGGGGGGGACCACTGTCTCGACGGATTATACATAATGTTCTTTTATCTTGAAATGTTATTAGATCCAATTATGCCTCTAAATACAATTCACTTTTCAAGAAATAGGGAGGGGATTTGAAATTGCTTCTTTCTATTTAAGATCTCGATTTAAATACCTATGTAACAGCATCATTAATTTCATTTACAGTTTGGTTTAGTAAAAGAACTTACTGATAAGGGATCCCATATATAGGTAGTGTTCATGCAAATTAACGGGGCAATTCAAGTCATATGAACGAATTCGGATTTAGTTAAGTATAAATTATGGCTAAGTAAAAATTGGATAGGCTGTTATTAATGCTCTTTGTGGAAATAGCGTCAAATTAAAATTACTAATTAGGTACTTCATAAAAAGATGGCATACAAACCGAACGAAACAACTTGACCTTATTATGGTCAGTGCCTGGTAGCGAAGGATGCTGGTTCGATTCCAGTCTGTGACAAGTTGAATTTTTATAGTATGAACCTAATAGCTTTTAGAACCTAATTTAATACTAGAGAAAAAAATATTAGAAAAAATTCATTCGGGCCAGGCAGCAGACGGGACTCGAACCCGCACCCATCGCTATCCGGGCAAATGCACTGATCAATATGCTATCGCGGCCCTGACGGCCGTGTCTAATTTTCCGGTAGCCTTTCTTAGGCTGCAAGACAGTGCCATCTCTCCGTATTGTGGGTAACCCACAATAATAATACTATTATTTTTTTCCTTGATATTCTTACGTTTATTATTAATGTCTATCGTTAACAAAGAGTTTCGACCGTTTACTATTAAGCCCTGCTTTACAACAATTTGTTTATTCTATAATTAAAATATCCATGAAGACTAAAAGTAGGTTAATCGATAGGTTGTGTGTGCCTCCACGCGGCGTGGTCGCGTGTTCGCGTGGTCGCGTGGTCGCGTGGTCGCGTGGTCGCGTGGCACCACCAGTGAGTGTAGTGGGTAGTGATGGGTGCGGTCCCGCTGTCAGTGAGTGAGGTGAGCGCGCGCCTGTTGCAGATGTGCAGCCTGACGGCGCTGGCGCGAGGCTGCCGGCCCGCGCCCGCGCCCAACGCCAAGCCCTGCTGCCTCTGCTGGTGTTGCTGCTGCTCCTGCTCCTGGTAACTACTACACTACACTACACTACACTACACTACACTACACTACCCACCACTAACTTCACTTGAGTGCGATCAAGATCTTGTGGCACTTTTATGACATTGACAGGAGGACGCTGCTGGTAAATACGTGGTGAATTGAGGATTACTCAGTACGTAAAATCTCCTCACTAAAGAGAACGTTTTATTTAATTTATGATAACTCGGAAAGAGTGATAGGAAATATATAAGACTTATTAACACCTTCATCTTAGTTCCAATTTCGGCCACGTGCAACAAAATCTTGGTCCCACTGTATCCACACAAAACACATTTAAAAACACTTAAGGTCACCCGGGGCAATTGCAGCCAGGGGGCAAATGAAGCCGTCTCAAAAACTTGACTTTACTGAAGCGTAAGATAAAACAAATTAATGAAAAATGACTAACCATTAATAAAGTTTTGGTTAACAATGGTAATAAATAACATTAGTGATATTAAGGTGTTGACTAAAATGTTGCAAAAGTCAATAAATTCAAACATACATCGATTCACATATGTCCCAACACTAATGTAAATGGAAAAAGTTACATTAACTCTGAAAACCTACTTAACTTTTACCCCAGGTAGGGGGCAAATGTGACTACGAGTAGCGGCTTTAAGATAAATTATCTTCAATTTAAAATTCATTTATTGATTCTCTATCAATCTGAACTAACTAACGAAAAAAAATATTAAAGTCACAAGTTTGACATATTTTTTTAGTAGTTTCAATTGCCCAGGGTGACCTTAAGTATGCTATTAAAATATGCTATTCTTACTTGTTTTAATTAGCAAACAATATTTGTCCTTTAACATATTATATCTTCTCGCTATTATTTTCCTTGCTATGTTGGGAGAGTATCAAATGTGCAGGTAGTTACCACAATATATTTGAGCAGGAGTCTTTTATTTTCTGTATCGGAAATTAGAGAAAACAATTTTATTAATATCAATCTATGTATCTCAACTAAAATACCTAAATCAAAGTCAAACTGCGTCTCACTGGCTCTGACGGCACTGGCGCTACAAATTAGTATCACACCATGCTTGATACAGAAAAATCCTCGCAGTCCAAGGAAAAGTCACTAAATCGACATTTAGCTAAAATTGAGTTATAAAATACTAATTTCAACCTTAGAGCCATGTCTAGTCTAAAACACTATACAGGACGTCCCACGGCTACCTCACACGGAGGGAAAGTAACATACAATTTAACATTTAAATTAAAATTATTTAACACAAACTAATATAAAATCGGATACGCCTCCAAGTAATGTTAAAAGGTTGAGTTCACCATCGTTGACGTTTAACATCTGCTGCTGTGGTTTCTGTAAGCACATAAAAGCGATTTTAAAAAAATCTGTGAATGCAGTTCTAGTTATTATTAAAAAAAATGGGTGCGTGTACTTATGTAGGCGCGTGAGAAGTTATCCTTCTTTGGCATCGTTTAAAATTAGTTTTTAATTGCATGCAAATAATTAATTACAACAAATTAATAAAAAGTCTGGAAAAG